TTTTCCAAGAAATTCAGGTGCTGTTGCCTCTGTATTTCTGTTCAACTCAGTTAAAGTTTATTTTACTAAGGCCTGCACAGTACAAAATGTTAGATGACAGAAACAAACCAACCGTTGTTTTGTACAGAGGTTTTCTCTAGCCAACTTAGTCTTTGTTTAAAGACAGCAAAAGTAGAATTAAGAATTCACATACGCTGAATTACTGTAACTATTAACAAGAAATGCATGAAAATGCATTTTAGAAAAAAAATAATTATCCACAAAGTAAGTAGGTATGGATTAGTGTTCCTATATTTGCTTCATTGTTGATCATTTTGTTTCGGAATGAAATTTGGAGATATTTTGAGCTGAATTTGTGAAAACTTTAAAACCTGCTTTAACAGCTGAATATTCAACCTAATTTTCTGCACCACACACTGCATTTAATCATGGTCCAACTGTCATTTACGCCATTTTTTTCCGGTTTTATGACCCGTACCCAGACCTGATGACTGTCAGACCTGAAGAAACAATAAGTCACTTAAATAAAACCTATCTGACAATATTAAGTAGGCTGAGAGATCTCACATCATGCTTCCAGTTCAAAGAAATTCAAGAAAATATGAAAATATATTGACATCTATTAGTTTGTAAAGGGTGAAGAAGCGTTTGTAAGGCTTTGGGAGGCCAGTGAACCACAGCAAGAGCCATTTTTCACAAACAGAGAAAGCATGAAACTTTGGTGAACCGTCCCAGGAGTGACTGGCCAATTACAATTACTGAAAGATCGCCTCAGTGACTCATCCAGGAGGTCACACAGGAACCCTGAATAGCATCCAAAGCACAGCAGATCTCGGTTGTCAAAGTTAAAATCAGAGTTCCTGAATAATAAGAGTGACTTGGCAAAATGGCCAACTGCCTTAAAAAAAACAACAAAGGTTTTAGTCAAACTCTGTAGCTTTGTGTTAGAAAACCCATTTATGCATCTGAATTTAAATAATTTGCAAAGAAACATTACTTGAGAGTGATTTACCAGTTTATCAAAAAATATTTTTGGGAGTTGCTGTTACTAAATGCAACACAGCAAGTTCAGAGGGCAAAAATTTTCTCACATGAGGCCTGATTAGTTTGGATTTTATTTCCATAATAAATTAAATCATCATTTGAAAATGGCTTTTGCATCGACTCTCTTTGTCGTATATTAAAATTAGGTGGGTGATCCGAAACATTCTAGTGTGGAAAAAAAAGCAATAAACAAAGAAATAAGGAATGAGGAAAACACTTTTTCACATTATTAGTGTAAAAGCTAATGTGTTATATTTCCAGCATATTAAGAATAATTATTGATTTTCCGTTAAATGAAAACAATATAATATTAAACATTTTTGTTTATACAATGATAGTTTGGCATTTTACAGTGAGAATCTCAGACAGACCTAATGAGGGCTTCTATTTATTTAGTTACCTAATCCAAATTAAATAGAAATAAGAATGTTAACATAGGCTTAAAAATGTTATATGACCTTTGACCCCTTCAAGATTTTGCAACTTTTTCAGGTTGGGACATTTTGTACCAATAATGCATCACTTCATACCCGCTTTGACATCCAATGACTTTAGATAATTTTTTCGTCATTTCCTGTCAGCGAATGTGGATATTTAACTTCAATAAATAACACCTACCAAGCTAGCACTAATTTTGTTGATGAGAAGTCAACTGGCCCAAATGGGAATCGGAACCAAATTATCCGAACCATATATAGTATGACCTGTACCTCATTTTATACCATAAGACGTTAAATAAAATCAAACAAAGCAAAGTATATGGCTACCTTTCTTTCAGTCGAGGCTGAATTCTACCAAATTTTGTCCTCCCACCAAACTTTTCACTAATATTCAAAAATTTGGTTCCGATGAGGCTTGTTTGTGAGTTTAAAAGTAAATTTTAAAAACTTTTAGCCTGTGTTAAACATACTTTTCATGGGTTGAAACTATTGCATTGAGGATACATAGTGGAGGGTTGATAGTCCTCAGAAAATTCTATCTCATTATTTATCTGAAGAATCCATGAAAATACTAAACCTTAAGGAAATATATACTAAAATGCTAAAGTTTAAGTTAGAGGAGGTCAGTTATTGTATCATTAATCATTTATTGTTTTAAATGTATTATTTATTATTAATATTGTATTTAATTAAATACAATAATATTACTAATTAAAAATTATCTGAATTATATTAATTTATATATTATATAATAAAATATATAGATATAAATTATTAATATAATATTAAATTATAATAGATTGATTAACATATATTAATATTATTTTTTTGTGTATTATGTTAAATCATATTTTATTTCCCTTTGGGATTAATAAATTATTTTTGAATTTGAAATATAAGGTAGATTTCAATTTAGTTTATAAATTGAAATTCATAAGGACATGTTTAGAAACCTGTTCATATTGGTGGGATTGTTTATTTTACTATTTTCTCCACTGTTTGTTCAATGAAAGTATCAATACATTTGAAAATATGACTAAATACACTTACTGTGTGCAGTTTAGTGATACAAAATCACACCTTTTTGTGTGACTGATGTCTGAAAGAAGCGTATTGCAAATGTGTTTCTCAAGAGCAGTATTTATGTTTGTGGTGTCACAGCCATTGAGTTACCTAAAAAAATAAACATAATGAATAGTCTTTATCATCAATTTTATTGCTGTTATTATAGTAGCACAAAATATAATAGTAAAACTTTTAAGTTTGCGTTGCCCAAACCTGTTTTAAATACAAAATGGAAGCAGGCAGGAAGGTAATGGCTTCAAAGTGGACATATTCTCTTGATTTGTTGTTTCCATCTTCACACCAGTGGAAAAGGAAGTGAAACCAGTGACACGGTGCACTCTTTGTCATTCAAATAACCTCATGAATATTTCAGCGCTCTGATCTGTGACGGGATGGAGTGGGCCGCGATCTTCAGCGTGGAGTGGATTTAGTCAGAGCAATGACCTGCGTGTCATTTTAGCGGGAAGACAACACAACATTTGCCTTTCTGTCCTTGAATTAGGCCTCTACATGCATTTCCTTTCTTACTTTTTTAAAGAAATTGAGCATAATTACAAGCACCTTATAGTCACCTCTCTGTCTGGGCGAAGCTTGATGTTTCTAGCTTGAACTTAGCCTGTGGGCTGACTGGGTGAAAGGTAAACCCTAATGAGGCAAGAGGAGGAAATGTTTGTAACCTGCCCCTGCAACCTGAATAGAAAAACACAGGAAGTGAAGGTTCTTTTGACGTGTTCCCTTTTAGTTCCTCCTGTGAAGTGGCTTTAGCGCTCTCAAACACCGCTCCATGTCATAACTCCATCATATAAGGCAGCATCTCTGCGTTAATTATATGCAGCGTGGCCCCTTTAAGAGCCCTAATGTCCTTTTTTGAGAATGAGTGCTGACCGTGGTGGTGGGGGGAGTCTGGCTCTAATCAGGGTTGCCAGATCTGACTGACTGTTTCCAACCCAAACACAATGTAGAACCCAACCAACTCTTAAAAACCCAGCCCAAATCTCAACTTCTAATAAAACTCATGTTCATAGTCAGATTTTGTCACATGTACTATGTCCTTTTAAAGCAGAAGTGTCCAAAGTGTGGCACGCGGGCCATCTGTGACCCTTGAAATGATTTTGTTTGGCCCCTGAATGGTTTAAAATTTGGGCAGCAAAATAGAAAACATGATTCAAAACATCATGTTTTCAAACATGATGATTCAAAACAGTTGGAAATGGTCAGTTATTTAACTGTCCGAAGCCCTTTTTATGTTTTAGGTTTCTTTTTTTTTTTTAGCAGATAAAACTAAAAAAAAAGAAAAAAGAAAGAAATCACAATGCACTCATTTTTGTATGATGGAGGACTAACACCATACTAAGAGTTTTTATTTTTATGCAGTTGGTGAAATCTTAAATTGATTCTGTGCAACTTATTCAGGTTGTTGCTAGGTAACCAAAGCGTGGTGAGTTGTTAGGTGACCAAAGAGTGAGTGAGCTGCTAGGTAAATAAAGAGGGAATGAGTTAGTTGATGTCACCAACCTCCTTAGCTGGTTGTGAGAGGCTGAGTGGCTAAAGTATTTCCTCTGCCTACATCACCCAGAATTCTGTGCGGTTCTGGATTGTAGTTCAGCGAAATTGAGCCGCCATCTTGGTTAACAAGCGCAGAGGAAAGTATAGATGAAGGGTGGCTTGAAGACCAACAAAAAGAAAGTATATTGACACTCTTGACCAATGTGCAAGAGAAAGATACATCAACAAAACCACTGCTGTCGAGACCAACCCATAAGAGACAGATAAAGCAGACATGTCAGACGACGTGGACAAGCTAAATGCGATCTCATATTATGACGCAGTTCATGAAGACTGCATACACCTTGGAGGAACTTCGCGGCCTGAAATCTTTGGACGCATAAAATCGGCTTTGTAAAGGACGTACGAACTCTTCACGTCAATAACAAGGTTCTGGTGACCGGCAGAGTAAGTACATGTAGCAGCATACACGTAGGCTACATGTCCGTGTTAGCTTGGTGAAAAAAAATACATTAGCTAAGCTAATGTTGCTAGTTTGGCAGTAAGTAGTAGTACGACTACAGTAAATATCACTGATATTGGTGGGTAGAGTACTCAGAAATTGTGATCGAGTATTAGTTGTAATATTCTTATATTGTTTTTAAGTATGGAAATCAGGCGAGAGCTAGTTCTAATTTTGTGGCTTGCTTATTGTTGTCATAGCAACGTTCATGGCAGTTACGGACACAAGCTACAGCTATCGGCTACAAAGCTCCCGGAAGTGCGTCTATCGTGATATACATTATTATTGATTTATTGCCCAGCCCTAATTAATCAAATGTCAAATTTGGCAGATTCTAGACATTTAAAAATAAAAATAAACTAATATGATTAGTGCAATAACGGCATTTTATTAAAAGTTTTTGCGGTTTCCTGCCACACAGTGACAATTATTTCAAAGGAACACTTTCTAAAAACCTGCCAAAATTTGTCAAGAGTAGCCCAAATTTTAACAGCTGTTTTTTTTCCCCCCAACCCATTTGGGTGGAAACCAACCCAATCTGGCAACACTGGCTCTAATCCCAATCGCCCACCCCTCTACCCCCATGCAAACCCCGTCCAAACGCATGCCCTTATCTACCATTGGAATGCAACAACTGGCCGGGGAGAAAAGAGGAAGGGGTGGGCTGGCTGAAACCCCCTTGCCAGACCCCCGTATGGCTTCTGAATCCCCCCCACCTCCTCATCTACCATACTCCACCTCCAAGCGAGCGACGTGCCCGGCTCCAACTAAAAAAAAAGTGAGCTAGACACGTTCAGAAGATAGGAGAGAGAGAGGGAGAGCGAGCGAGCGAGAAGGAGAGTCAGGGACAGGCAGTGCTGAAAAGGAGAGCACAAAGAGAAGGAAAGTGGAGCAGGGGAGGGGAACAGGAGGCTGGGAGAAGGGAGAGGGAAAGACAAAAGAAGGAGAGGGGAGACGTAGCAGGGTGAAGCGGAGGGGACTGAGCAAATGGCTACGGAGGAGACGGCGGGGGGAGCCAGGAAAGCCACCAAGAGCAAACTGTTTGAGTTCCTGGTCCATGGAGTGGTGAGTGGCGCTGTCTTGTCATTCCTGCTCTGGCATGCATCTGTGTGGATGAATCGGTGTGAGCGTGAGAGAGAGAGAGAGCTGGGTTAACGCTGGCCATGTGAAGGTTATTTCCAGCCCCTCGGATCTGTCAGGAGAAGTGGAGCAGCATGAATGGAGCATGAGGGGAGGATGTTGGAGCTTGCCTGCACATGAAAAATCACAGAAATCGAAGCAGAGCTGTAGAAAGCAAGGAAAGAAAAGCAAGAAAAACAGCTAGATTCCCTCCCCTTTGGCTAGCAGAGACGCACACTGCTTTACTGGGATTCAGAGACCCCAAGAGAGCGAGGGAGAGGGTGGGAAATGACGAGTCCTCTGGAGTATCCTTCCAGGAGGCGTGCTGCTGCTGCCGCTGCTGGTCCGTGGAAGGATTTGAACCTGTAAGGTCACCAGACGACAGATGTATAGTGTGGAAGATGGAGCCACGGTTGGCAGAACAATCAGTCCATTCATGTGAAGCTAGCATGAAATGTCAAGCCCAGTGGTACTCATGTGGTTAGAGGTTAGACAACTGTTACCATAAGCTTCCCTGCACCACATGGACTGGAGATAGGTTTGTTTAGGGAGGTAAAAAAAAAAAAAATCTCTGGTAAAACTTCACAACATTTACCTCCAGAACATCTGTGGTGTCTCTGCCGATCTGTGGCTTATATGTGCTTGTGACCCCTAGTCTCACGTCTGTCGGTCAATTCAAACAAAAGATGTTCGTTTTGAGATGCATGCAGTATGTATAGAGTAAAACAATCAATATTTTTTTTTATATTTTATTGCTTACGTAGCAAATTTTACAAATTATTAATCGGATAATCAATATTCTTTTAAAAATGTCAAGGTGACATTATCCAATGATAATTAATTGTGGTCAATCAATAATTTAAATAATCATCAACTAGCTTAGCAAGCAACTAGTTATTAACTGGAGTATAGAGACTCTAAAAAATTTAATTTGCTGAAAGGACAACATATTAAGAGGAGTATTTAAGCCAAAACTGTACAAAATATATACAGTTTTCATTTAAGATAAAAAAAAAAGTTGCCTGTAAATATATTCTACCCAGAATTCTCGTATTAATCACCTTTTGCCATCCAATTATTTCTCAGTTAATCAAAAAAATAATCAGCAGATTTGCCACAAACTGTATTTAAGTCAAGCAGAAGGGCTGAGCTTTTCACATATTGATATTTACAAAAAAAATGTTCATGCAATTTTTTAAAACTTCTGAGACCTTGTTGCTTTACTTTACAAAATGTATTAATTGAATCTAAATTAACATGCCTGTGAAAAGAAATCCTTTTTTATTTTATTGCTCATTTGTCACATTTAATTGTCTTGATTCAGATACATTAGATGGTTTTAAGGCTTGAAAAGTCTGTTAAAATCATACCCTACCATCTGAAACGTATTTAAGACCAAAAAGTCTGAAGTGGACTTCCTGCTTCATGACCCAAGTGTGCTTGATCTTTGGGTTAAAAACGGTGGCTCAGTGTGGGTCCGTCAATTATTACTCCTTGTGTGAAGTTGCTGTTAAGTTGCTAAATGCTAAAGCTAGTGTGGACATTTAATTTAACCATTGCTGTTTTTATTTCTGTCTTCATCTAAAACAAGTCTTTATTTAACAACCTTTTAATTTGCATTTCCATGTTTTAAAAAAGTAAGATGTTCTTCGCTACAGCCTTTGTGAAGTTACTGATAAGCTGCTAAATGCTAAAGCTGGCTGGTATGTAAACAGGGAAGATATAGTTTTAAGTATGTCATTTTTTTTATTTCTGTCCTTACATAAAACCTGCTATTGTGTACAAAATATTTGCTGCCATTTCATTTTACTTTAAGATTCTGTTTTTGTTAATTTGCTTCCCCTATTTCCTCTTTAATGTATTACATTTGAAAGAAGTCAGTGTGCAAAGCACAGACACATCAAAAGTACTTCTTGATTATATTGTGGTTTATTTTTATTAATTTATACATTTAAAAGATTAAGCTGCAACTCTTTACAATGATGTTATTTACATGTGATCTGATTTCTATGTTGGCAAGAAATCAAACAAAGAAAGCAAGTTTGCTACTTGTATAAAATAAAATCTGATCATTCAGGGACTACATAAATAACATTTCTGCTTCTCAAATTTTAATATTTAGTAGTTTCTATCAAATTTTGTAATTTATTCTACTTTATGGCTAACAGGCTAATACAAAATTAAGAAAATAATACTTTAGCTATTACTTCGATAATGTTGTATTGGTGCAAATACCTTGCCATGATCACATTTCAGAATCTCAGATAATAATTTGAGCCATCAGATAGGAATTTGTGTAGCTAAATTTTGCAATACTCCTTCAGTATAAGAGGTTAAAACAAAGAAATCTCAACTTGTACAACTAGTTTTAGACTGAGCTCAGTTTTAATCGATGCTGATGTCAGCTTTAGCGACACCAGCTTGATTTATAGACTGAAACCAGAAGAGGCATTGTGTCTTTGACAGGAGCAGTCATTAAAAGGGTTTTGGGGGACTGAAGCTTGCAGACACACTTTAGGAAACAATGACCTGGGTGATTGATGAGCCAGATGAGCGTGTCCTCTCAACAGACCAATTAACCTTGATGAGTCTCTGGCTGCTCAAAGCCAAATATTTCCCTCTGCTTACGTTTCTCTCATGCCTTCGTCTTCCTCCTTCATCCTGTCTTTATTCCCCCCCACATCTGAAGATGGAAAAGACTTGTTATAAAAGTTGCAGGAGGTCCTTTTGGTGTGTGTTCTCCAAAATGGAGGGACATTTATCCCAAGGGACAGGACTTGGGACAGTTTGTCAGCTTGTGGCAAGCGATGACGTCTCATTTCCTTTCATGGCTGAAATGAGCAAAGGAGAAATGCTTTTTGAGGCAGAAAACGCAGATTTAAATGTTTTTTTGCGTTTGTAAATATAGCAATCAGAGCTATAGTTTCAGCTCCTGCAGGTTGTGGAGCTCCAGCAGGATTTGACTAAGCTTTGGTTCAATGGCTGATGGGTAGGCTGAGCCCTCCTCCTCTCCCTCTCTCATTATCTTGCTTACCTCCCAGCTGTCTCTGGCTTTGAAGGTCAGTTAGGGCCAGGTTGTAAGAAAAATCCTTCCAGGGCTCTTTGTGAGAAACTCCGATAAGCCAAAACATGAACCGAAACTCTGTAGCTGTGTTGTCTGAAACATTCTGCACATTTTTCTACAAAACTCTCTCAGACTAAATTTTCTTTGTTGCAATCCTCAAAAAGAATGTGAATCGTCGCTCTCAGCTACCTATGGAGGAGTTTTAACCATGCAAATCAATCAGCTTGTTAGGACATATCAGCATATGCACAAACCTTGTGACAGGAATTTAGTCTGCAAAGTAAAATAAAAGAAATTCAACATCCACTTCACTTTCCAAGCACAATGTGCTGGTTACCTTGAATTATCCACAATAGTCCAAAGACCTTGCCATGATCAGACTTCTCTGAAATTACTTTTTACCAGAGAAATTGTCATGAAATATGTGGTTGGATTTTGCAGTTTCTGTTGAATTTTTTTTCTTTGTGAAATGTGTTATGAATCCAGAAACCTCATCTCAACTCATAAAACCACCTGCATAGTTGTGTAACCTGGTAATTTTCTTGATTTAAATAACATTTAAAGTTCCCGTTTTATAAATTTGTTCTAGTCGGTCCAGCTCATGGGTTGTTGTCTGACCTTAATTGGAGGGAGATTTATTTTGTGTCCTCTTCACAGAATTGGCAGAGACATTTCAGGAAATGGTGAACTTTTCCCAAATAACGTAAAAGTAATTTTTAATCCAAACTAACAGTTAAAGAAAAAAACGACTGAGATTGGTGAGTTTGAAAAGTTAAGCCAATTGCTTTAAATGCCCAGCATAAGGAACATGAAAGGCAGGATAAAGGCAACATAACAATTTTATGTTTTAGAACACAATTTGTACCAAAATTATTATAGAACGAGACAAATGAGCAATTCAAAGAAAGTAAATCTGAAGGCCTGTTTTGATTTTTATTTGTTTATTTATTTTATTTTGTGTTTGGTAAAATTAGGTGCTAAAAGGCTTATTTAAGTAGTAGTAGTTTTTCAAGCAAACCTGTTATCTGTTGTTTTACATGATTAGAGGTCAACATCTTAAGAAGAAAAAATAAATAATTTAAACGTACTAAATCAATCTGCAGGCATTTTTCATTATTTAGTATCATTTCATGAAAGTGACAAACATTTAATTGAACATTTTCACAAATTAATGATTCATCATTAGATGTGTGTGGCTGTCAAAGTGATAAATAAAAAAATAACAGCTAATTAGTCGGTTATTATTGTTGCTTAAGATGCAATCGCCTCCCAATAATGGGAGCATTGAGATACAAAATTAACTTATTTATATTGTATTTTTCAGCATCTACTTAAAGGAAAATGCACTTAGTTTTTTGTAATACTTTTATATAGAAACCCAAAATATTCAACAAGATTATATTAAATGTTGGGCTGCAAATAACAATTATTTTAGTAATTGATAATTCTGACAATTAATTGCATAAAAAAACATGTAACATATTCTGCAGATTTTACATCTAACTACATAAACCTGTTATGTACAATTTTAGAAATACATTAATAGATGCAAATAAACAAATAATTAATTCCATTTTATTGCCTAAAATCCAATTTGAAAAGCAAAACTTTCTGCAATTACTCTCTGATGAAATGCACCACTCCAGACTAAACGATAACCAATAGGAACCAGGTAGAGAGTCTTGGTGCTGTCAATCAAGCTTGTGAACGTACTGCTAAATGTGCAAATATTGGAGAGAACCGTTTTTCTATGTCATCTGTGGCCATACTAACTAGTATGAGCATTGACAACACGCTACGCTAGCTTCAGCGTAGCAAGATTGGGATTGGGATTGACAGCGCTAAAACCCGCCTCCTGGTTCTGATTGGTTATTCAGAGCTAGCATTGGATGAATTCAGAGAAGCTCCAATTTTTCACAGATTATCTGTCTCATACTGTCAGGACATAGTGACAGTTTCAACAATTAAGTAAAATAATATATATTTTTATGTAAAAGTTACATACTTCAGCTTTAACTCATAAGCAAGAAAGAAATTCTTTAAAGAGGCAGAGTAAAAATCGAAACGTTGTAGTGAATTTCTGTAGCTGACTGAGAGGCTCGTTGGGTTGTGCTTTCAGACAGCGTGGGTTAAGTTTGGCCTCTCTAAATCCCTCCAGCCTCTCTGAGATGCCAGCACACTTCTCAGATAGCCGTCCACATGGCAGATTCGATCGCTGGACGGCTGGCGGAGCCCTGGGCGAGTGTTGGAGTCAGTTCAGCAGGTCACATTATAGAGTGGGCCTTCGTTGTGTGTTTGTGTGGATTTACATCATCCTGCTATGGATTTCTGTATCTGATATCTGCTGGGCTCGGGTTCTCCTGATGACCGCTTGTCTGCTGGGTCCCGTCTGATCCCTGTTTCATCGTCTAATCCATGAGAGTAGACTCTAAAGACTGAGAAAGGTGACAACATTGGAGCAGGAGGACGTCTGGCCATATGCTGTTTTATCCCCTCCAGTCCGGAGACGCCTCTCGGTTGCCACATCCCCTCCCCCTTACAGACTGAACTCCCAGTCAGAGTGACGGGAACGTCTGTTTGGACTTCTTATCACGTGTTGTCTCAGCCTGGTCCATTTCAATGGCAGCACGTTATGTCTGCCTTCATTATGCCATCAGAATCTGTTTGTAGTGGCAAATTTTCTCCCAACACCTATATGGATTTAGTCATGAAATATTGTTTGTTTGCTCACTGTTGGTTCTTAGTGTTTTTGTTTGTTTTCACTGTGTTTGTGGAGAGTCTAAAGATCACTTTGGATGCGTGTGTGTGCCAGGGTTATGACAGTTTTGGGTCTTATTTCGTTGTGACTTTTTGTTTGTCTAATTCAGTTAGTTTTAATTAGTTTTTAGAGTGTGTTTGCTAGTTTTTATTAGTTATTACTTGAATATTGTCTAGTTTTAGTTTAGATTTTATTTTTTTCCATACTTTTTTTGATGCAGAATTCAAAAGGTCAAAGTATTGCATTGTATTGTGATTATTTATACCATGTTGAATACTCAATAAATGTATTATATTTTGTTGTCGCCATTTTGCGGAATAGCGCAAGTGCCATCAGGAGAAGCATGGGGTGCCGTAATTTGCCGACAACTGACATAAACTGCTTTTGTGGGGGGGGGGGAATAAGCTAATTTCACATCAGTTTGAAAGATTAAGAACTATACTCATAAACACAAAAAAATAAGGATACTGTATCTATAGTTTCAGTATATTTTGGTTAGTTATATAAACACACAATATAGTTCCAGTGAATTCCATTTTTTCCCATTAATTACTGTTTTTATCTCAGTTTCAGTTTTTGTTTTGGTAGTTTTAATCAGTTAAAATAGTGTTGGCGTTTGCCTGCAAACTATCCACATCGCTCAAACTTTTCTGTATTTTCTCATGTTATAACTCCAGTGTGTTTTTCTTGGATTTAATGTAATAGTGGAAGAAAAAGGATATCAGGTTTTTGTCTTTGCAAAACAATCTCAAGCTCAGTCAGATCAGATTGAGATCATCAATTTATAACTCTGCACAGATTCTCAGTGGACATGTTTCCACTGAGCGGGTCGCTGTGGTTCGGTACGCAATTTTATGGTCCAGTGTATTCAGGGAAATGTTTCCACTGCTAATTGGTCTCTCACTGGGCAGTACTTAATCTCATTCATGTTCCAAGCAGTAGCATTTTCCTGTCCTCCAATCAATGGACTATGTTGTGCTGAATGGGTATAATTGTACTTTAGCCATCAATATGATGGCTAAATAAGAAATTTAAAACAATTAATATATTTGTTGTTGATCTTGTATGTCTATATAGTTAGTTATTTAGCAGCAGAAAGGGGTTTTGCTTTGAAAATGTTTCCTATTTTGTTGCCATTAGTTGTTTTCGGTAAAATGTGATTAATTACAGATCCTGCAATTAACTCGATTAAAAGTTTTAATCAAGTCAATTACACTGCTTTCTTGTGTGAAAATCGACCAATTTTCAGTTGCCTGAAGTATAAACACTATCTCAGAGATCAACATCTTTGGTATGAATTGTGTGAAAAATGACCTTGAAGAGACTGATGAAAGCTGGTAAGACGGTGTCAAACTATGCTAAAAGTGAAATAAAAATCTCAGTTACATTTTGTAAATAAACTGAGGAACAAATACTCTGTTTTTGGAGGTATGTTCTGCAGTCAAATGAAAGTAAAATTTAATTTTGTAAACAAAATGACAATTATTAAATCTAAAGAAATATAGAGGGAAGCGTTTTTCTTCCCATCATCCCAACTGTGAAGTATGAGGGTGGAAGCGTCGTGTGTGTGTGTGTGTGTGTGTGTGTGTGTGTGTGTGTGTGTGTGTGTGTGTGTGTGTGTGTGTGTGTGTGTTGCTGCAGGAAGGACTGGTGCACTTCACAAAGTAGATGGCATCATGAAGGCAGAACGATGTAAAAAATACTAAGACATAAAATCAGCTATAAATCAGAAGGTTAAGCTTAGCCATAAATAGGGCTTGGACAATAAATCAATAACAGTATATATTGTGATAGACACATGATCAATATCAATAATACTATATCTGATATAATATCCACTGAATTTTGATCCAGAACCGCACAGCATTATGGGAGATGTAGGCAGAGAAAACTCTTTAGCTGCTCAACTAGCAATGGTTTGATGGTGGCATCAACTAACTCACTCATTCTTTGGTTACCTAGCAACTCACTCATTCTTTGGTTACCGAGCAACAACCTGTTGATTAACTTGCGCAGTAGCAGTTTAAGCTTCCGTCATTGTGCCTTATAGTTGCTTAAAAATATAAAAGAGCGTGGAATGAAAATTGGATAAAACCCAAAAGTTTATGTCACCAGTTTGGTGACATTTCACATATTTACAACAAAAAGCTAATCAATAATTATCGATATCGACTGATATAAAACGCATGATGGGTCTTTCAGCCGTTGTCATAAATGGGTCTCCCAGTTTATCTCGTGCTCCAAGTTGGAGTGAAAAACAGTTTAATTGGATAGGGTTGGACATTGCGGGCTCAATCTGTTGTAGTTGAACAGAAACAGCCGGAGGTCTGTGCTCTGGGTAGATACTTGCTTTATTTCATGCAAACAGTGCTTTGGTTTCAGACAATAAACCAAGGCGGGGGGCAGCTGTTGCCATGAGAATGACAGGAACAGGTGAGAGACCCAGCTGTCCCCCGCCGTCAGGAAGTCAACGTGGGAGACTGTTTGCATTATTAGGGAGATGTTTGGAGGGTTGAAAGCGATTTTAGATTACAGTTTTAGTTCCGTATTTGTGTTGTGAGAGATCAAAAGATCGAGACGAAAACGAAGGTCTCAGTGCAGTTCCTCTTGTTTCTGGTATTGTTTTATCTCTAAAGAAACAAACAAGACAAATCACTGCTGTTTTTTTTTTTTTTCCTCTGTCGTTTGTCATTGAACTCGGTTGACGGCATATTTCCCCAGTTACATTATATGGTTTAAAAGCACCTTGCAAAAGTATCTGTACCCCGTTAACTTCTCAAATTTTGCCACAATACAACCACGGAAGTCAATGTGTTTTATTAAGAATACGATGAACTGAGTTAAAATCCAAAAGAATATATTTACAAAAAAAACTGGATCTCATAAAAAAGGGTTCAGAGAAACAAAATGGACTTTGACAAAAAAAAAAAAAAAAAAAACAGTTAACAAACCAACTGACTGCAGAAACTAAGTATAACTGACCTAACAAGGAAATGACACAAGAATAAATTACTTACTAGTTCTACTGGCAGATTATTTTTCTTATAGCCTGGAAATAATATTTTAAGTGAAATAATCTGTCAATGAAACTTTTTTCATCAATATTAAGGAATTATTGAACGAAAACAAGCTCCTATATTTTCCTGAAAAGTTACTTGCTATAAGTCAGTTTTGTCTTATTTCATGTGTACTGAAATATCTGCACAAGAAACTAGACAAAAATACTTTCTAAGTTTTTATGTTTTTGCAGTGTTGTTTGGTAACTCTTTAGTATGACTGGACAATAAGTCAATAATATGTATTGTAATAGACACGTGGTCAATATCAATAGATACATTTTCAATAATTTTACTGTGACTCAGAACCGCAAAGCATTCTGGGAGATGTAGGCAAAGGAAAATTTTTCGCTGTTCAGCCTCTCACAGCCAGCTAAGCTAGGTTGGTGGAATCAACTAACTCACTCACTCTTTGGTTGCCTAGCAACTCACTCATTCTGTAGTTACCTAGCAACACCCTGTTGAGTAACTTGCACAGCAGCAGTTTAAGGTTTTGCCACTGTGCCTCATAACTGTTTAAAAAAACACACAGCAACGTGAAGTGAATAAAACAAAGAGGAAAGGTCACTCCACCAGTTTGGCTGAATTTTAGATATTTAAAACAAAAAAAAAACATAAAATTATTGATATCGACTGCTATGAAACGCATATCAGTCAGCCGGTTCGCCCAGCCCAACTCATTACTGATGTTATTTTAATAAATTATAAACACTAAAGATAATATCACTTGTTTGACCTCTTCGTTTTGCATTCCCCCCCCATTCAGCGTCCTGGCATGCCATCTGGAGCGAGGATGCCCCACCAAGGAGCCCCCATGGGGCCCCCTGGCCCCCCGTATGGAGGGAGTCCGGCAGTGCGGCCCGGCCTGCCCTCCCCAGTGATGGAGCCAAGTCGTAAGCGGCCCGCCCCGTCCCAGCAGGTCCAGCAGCAGCAGCAACAGCAGCAGCAACAGCAGCAGCAGCAGCAGCAGCAGGCCGTGCAGAACCGCGCCAGGAAGTGAGTCTGAAATCAGTGCAGATTTAAATCGAGCTGCATGGCTTGCATACCATACCATACCTTTTGTCTGCTTCTGTGTGGTTTTAAAGGCAACAATAGCTATGGTTTCACTGGAAATTCATTCTGAAGGAATTATCTTATGACATTAATCCATCAGGAAACTTCCTGGAAACTGATTATTTACTAGAAGATCAAAAATGTAGCTTTAATATTTAGTTATACCTCTTTAAAAATGACAAAAATCTGATTAATGTAATAATAATTATTTATTTACAGTTTCCTCTGCTGTTATTGGCTGTTTTGAAGTTCTTCCTCCTGACTTTTTGTCTCTTTTTAGCATGAAAATCCCTGGTGAATTGCTGTTTCCGCTTTCTGTTTTACTTTTTGTTTCCCTGTTGCAGCTCCTGGCAACCACTGATTGCAGTCGCTGATTTCTTTTGAAACTTCTCAAACGATGACGTTTGGCATGAATAATGTTTTTTTTCCTGAATGCCTCAGATCACAGTAATTTGTCTGACTAGAATTAGTAACAGTCATCATTAAGGAAACTTTGCCTAACCAAGATTCCCAAAAATTTGAGTTTAAGCATTAAAATATCTGATATGAATTGTGCACAAACATGTGAAATGGTACTTTATTTTTCCTACAGTGAAATTAAATCTTGTTGCAACTCATACTATAACTTTTTTTCAGAGTCCTTGTAGATGCTGATGGCTATAAGGAATGATCTCCTGTAGCAGTCTGTACTACAACATTGCTGAAAAAGCATCTGACTGAAGACACCATGTTGTCATGATTAATTTTTTTAATTTATAAAGAACCCTTCTTTGCTCAATAATCTTTGCCTTAAAGAAATGAGCTTTCAATCAATAGCTTTTCCATCTCTTTCAAAGAGCAAAAGGTCTTTTAATCTCTACTCCATTTTCATGTGAAAAAAAGTTAAATATTTTAAAAACTATAAAAAGTAGAAGTAGTGTCCTAAAAGTTTTGATATTTGAGTGGTTATAAAAACACAGATTGCTGGAGAAAGTCTCTGCATCTGGAAGAAAAGCATGAATGATAGAGAAATCAAAAAGCAGCCCTGGTTATTTTTAGTATTTGCAATTATTCACGCCATGATTTTTGTAAAAACTTGGAGCATAAAAATCAACTTGATGAGATGTGAAACCATGGGTTTTTGTCCGCCTCGTCTCAGCATCCATTTCAGTCTTTGTTTCCACTTCTCGCACTCGCTCATCGGCTCTCTCCCTCTTCTTATTATTATCTTGCCTCTGTTTTCTTGCTCACTGCTTTGTTCTTCTGTGTCCTGCTGTGCACGAGCGATTGAACTTTATGTCTCAAAAAGGATTTTTTCTTCTTTGGATCCCAGTTTTCCTTCACATTGAGGCGGTCCACACAAAGCTCTCTGCATCTGCAGGGTTTAATTCGTCTAACACCTGAACATCTGTATCCCAGTTGCCTAAACACACACACCTGACACACAGCAGTGTGTCAGGTGTGGTCATTAGAAAGACAATCAATACGCACACCTCTCCGTTTCATTCTCTCACTATCTGCAGCTCGATTGATCCACTCACAATTAAGCAGGCTTGTCGAACATTTTAGAGGAAATGTTACTGAACCCCCAGAGCAGAATGTCTGGCTGCCGAGCGTCTGATCAATGCGCCAATGTGACCCGTCCAGGTGTCTTTGTCTCTTAGACAGCGTTCTTCTGCTGGCAAACAGGTTGGCGCTCCACCTCCGCTGCTGCCAGCTGAGGGCGGACCACCTGTGTTTGCAATGTCACTGAGCCCTCTGGGTCTGAGCTATAACCGAAGTTGCTGCTGATGGAAGCATTTTTATTTTTTACCCCGGCTGGCTTTGTTGTGTAAATACTTGTCTGGAAATTTGGTGCTTTGATTTAAATTGAACGGGTTTACCTTAAATTGATTTTCTGTCTCTGTGGTTTACAGCGTTATTAGATTTCAGAGCCTCACCTTAACTCCAAATAAACGTCTTGTCCCTTTGGCAAAACAACTCAGCCTTTGTCAAACTTTTCTCCATTAAACATGAGAGTATTACCGATCATTATTTTGGCCACGATCAATACAAAGATTATCATCACTGACAGATGACGTGAATAACACAAATTAATTCTTAATGGGTGCACATATGCTGTAGCAACTGAACTATGGTGAAACGATTAATCATATTAATTGTGATTAATCAATTATTGAAAGAATCACCAACTAATTTCACAATTGATTAATTGTTAGCAGAGTATACAGACAAAAAACTTTGCTGAAAGAATAGCATACTCAGCAGGAAGTCAAAACTGTACAAAATATGTACATTTAGCATTTAAAATTTAAAAAGGTGGCATAGTTATATCTGCAGAATGTACCAAAGTTTTTTACCTGATTAATCAATTAATCGTCATGATGATTGATAAATTACTCAACTACTCAGTGAATCATTAGTTGTAACCCTAAATTGAACATTTTGTTCTCAAGGATAATGTGTTAGAGAAAATATCTGCAACTATAATACAGAGTAGGGCTAACCTGATGATAATTTTTTTTGATTAACTGATTAATAATTGGAAAGCAATAGGCGCTTAGAATTTGAGAAAATCGGTACATAACATTTTTACGGTCTTTGCTCTATTGCTGCTTTGAGTGTTTTGTTCTTTTAGCAAATGGTCTTTATTTGAGTCTTTATATTCCAGTTGATAATTAATTGATTACTAAATTAGTTAGCGATGATGTCAATAATCGATTAATTACGATTAATTGTTTCAGTTGTATATCGAATAAGGACGCTGGATGCATTTCTCCATGAAAATGTAACTTCAGGACATATTTCAACTATATTTAAGTCCAAGAAATGTTGTGTTTTTACCTTAATGTTCTTCATTTAGATGGTACAATTTCAAACCAGCCATTCATGTTTGCACAAAGCACCGAGTTAAACAGAAGCGTTTATATTTTTCCACAGCTGTTGGTTCCTCTTTCTGTTAAAGTATGCATGATGTGCTCATCTGCACCACATGTTCATCACAACAAGTTATGAGCTGAACCAGAGGGAAGATTTCCGCTCAAGTTCGAATCCACCCTGTGATCTCATATATCAGTGTATTGTCTGTCTCTGTGTGTGAAGCATGATTGTTTTGGTTCTCTGAGAAACTCTGTTGAATGAGCGTGTCCCTCGGATGAGCAAGAAGCCTCCCAGATCCTCCTCCGCTGCACGAGCATGGACACAGTTCCTCTCCCATCACAGCCTGGCCTTGTCCCAGTCGTAGAGTTTGCACCTACTAACAGACCCTTGAACTTCACACACGTCCAACACACACTTATGTTAAAGATAGAAAGAAAAAAAAAAAGGAGCCGACAGGTGTTTCCCCGCTCTGAGTAAATATGTTTCTCGCCATAACACTAATCGGACAACCTTCGAATCCTCACCAATTCATAGGAAGCCAGTTGGATTTCCCGGAGCCAGCGAGATGCCGGCGAGGCAGATGGACATGAGAGAGCCCCAATCAGATCCCACGCTTGGATCAAAGTAGGAGTTTATTCTGCTGCTGCATGCCCCTTGTCTTTCTTTTGATGACTCTGGCCTTTTTTAGCCTCTTACCTGAGCCCAGCAACCCCCCTGAATGAACTAGTCTGGCCAAACATATGCAAGTTGAGAGGGGACCCCTCTCTGGACTGAAGTAGTGCATGCTTTGGCCTGGAGCATGGCATGAAGGGGACCAGACTCCTATTGCAAAGTATTTTTCAGACAGTGTAAACTAGCAAATTGTTTGTGTTTTCTTTTTTATTCCCCTGTGGATGATTTAATCCTCCCTGCAGTGGGTTTGTTGCAGTATTTGGCATGCTGATAGAACTACTGGTTCACAAAGTGCTGCAGTCCTCTCTGACAAAAAATAAAACAAATTCTGCACTGCAAGAAAAAAAGAAAATGTTGGCGCTGTGTAAGAGTAATGGCGTATTAGAGCCGCTGTAAATAGAACAAAGGATGAGTAAATTTATGCCAACAACTCTTCGAAATTTTCTAGAAAAACAAGAAAATTTCAGGGTCGAAAATTTGCTAGAAAAAAAAATGTTTAAATTAATCTCTGACATTTTTGAGAAAAAAAAAACTTAAAAAAAACACCTGAGTTCCAAGTTGCAAATTTGCTAGATTTTTTTCTTAATTTTTAGATTAATATCAGAATTTTTTGTGTAAAAAATGAGAAATTTCTAAGTTTGAAAAGCAAAAAAAAAAAAAAGGACTTTTGAAACTCAGTTTTTTCCTCAAAATTTTAGGGTTTTTTTTTTTAGCAGTTTTTTTACTTTTCAGACTTTCCTTGTTTTTTCTAGAAAATATCTGTAATTAATTTCTGAGTTTTTTGGCAGAAATTTTCAAAAAAAAAATTCTCCAAACTACAATGGTTGTAATACGCCATCGTTGTAAACGGTATGCAATATGTCATACTTAGTAAATTTTTGGTGTGGTACGTTGTGTAGTCAGTCCCTCCAGTTTCTTGAAAATCCATGGAAATTCACACAAAATCAACAGATTTTTTGCACTAATACATAATCAATCGTGAGCTTGTAGGAAATTTTCCTCAGAAATGATCGAGAGTGCTTACTTCCACCTGCAGGTGGCAGTATTTCTTACTTCTACTACATTGAATCTTACTTGGCGTAAAGTTCGAGTCCCTGATCAATATGGCGAGGAACAGAAATATGTGGGAACAAAATTAGACAAATTAGAAAAGCAGAATTACTTAAATGGTAATTCTACCATTTAAGTAGAATTAAATGGTTTTATAAAACTTTTAACATTAAAGCTTGCTCACAAATAGGTTAGGTCTCAATATATATTATTAAAGATCTTTTTAAAGTAAATTGAATGTGTTCTAAAACTTTTAAAATCAATAGTTGATCTATTACATTATGTCAGTAGCCCATATTGCTGGTTATTGATATGGGCGGTTGCCCAGGGTAACGTTAAGAGCGGGGCACAAATGCACTATATAAAATAAATGCATTTATTTGACATTTTCCATCTCTTTCAAGCCTGTGCTGTCAGTGATGCGTTGATCTCCTGCATGCTGCTGAAGAAAGGAGACTTTTTCTTTTGCGTTCTTTGTGCAGAACTGCATAAAGAACTACTATTGATTTTTGGAAAATAGTTTGTAAAATCAAAATTTAGCAACAATGACCAAACAAAAGTTCAGCCTTTTTTTCTTTTTCTAAATTTGACATTTATAAAAGCCAGCTAACAAGTTGTTGTTGAAGTTTCTCAATATCTTTATTGCATATAATCAGCAGTTCCTATGAGCTGCTTTTAATCAGGTCAGGTTTGTTTCTCTGTGGATTTATTACTCACTGCTTCTACATATTTGGATATTAACTCTTAAATAAATCATGATATGGTGTAATACTTTATACATTATTGCTTATTGAAGGCAAACGGTAGATTTGCTAATTCGACATCATGATATTGTCATGATGTCGTGCCGTCATGCTTTAAACTTAAAAATTAAAGATTTAATTTGCTTTTGCCATCACTGCAGGTTTTTTGTGTTAGAAGAGCCTCTTGAATACTTTCCTGATTGTCTGACTTATCAGATCTGTGATCTGATCCCTTAAAAGCCACAAATGTTGCATTACATTGAGCTTCTTTCAGAATGAGATGTTTTAGGCCCTCTGACACTTTAAATCGAAATAAGCTGCTACTGGCCACGCCTTCCAACTCAACGTTTACACTCGTACGTGAAAACAGCTGCAAACAGATGTGCAATTATACAACCGTACTTCTTTGAAAAGCATTAGTAGATCCTCCTGCACAACCAACAAGAATGAAGCAAGTTGTTTCTGAATGGCTAATCAACAACAAAACACTTGTTTTTTCCAGCGGCCATTGTACAGCGGTAAAACCAGCTGATTAAATGTACTGGAGTTCTGCTTTGGTTGCTAGGTGATAGACTGGACTTCGCTGGGGTTGCTAGGTAACGTCGCAGTACCCGTTGATTGTGTCTCATCAATATTGAGGTTTTTGAAGCCACTGAGTTTCTAGATAGAAAAGCACATTGAAAACAGCTAGGTGGTTTTTAGAAGCAGTAAAGACTCAAATGGAACCATAAAACACGCAAAAAGTGAATTTTGCATAATGGGTAAGCTTTAAAGAATCACTTTTATTTCAATTTTTTAGGTTTTTAGATGAAGAAAAATGTAAGCATGTGTTAAAAAAGACGAAAAAAAGAGGATAAATACATTTTCTTCTGTCTTCTGTTGTAGAAATTCAATGTCAAAATAGTAAAAACCAAATAAAAAACCTGTACTTGTTATTAGAACCATACTTAAGAACATTACCCCATTCTATTTTATTTTCTAGGTAAAACTATTAGGAGCCATCGTGGAAGATTCAAAGAGTCACATGCGTCTTGCAGACTCTTGGTTTAGATGGACGGCCACTTTTGCCGAACTCGTTCCATTTTCAGATAATTGTTCAAGCTTGTTTTATTCTAACCGAAGGCTGGTTTGAACTTCTCCAGAACCTTCTACCTGGATCTGTGCTGGTTCTCATGATGCTGCTTATTATCTAATATCTGTAGCAAACCTTCATAGAACAGCTGAGTTTACATTAAAAAGAGATGGACTATTTTCCTTTACAATAGGTTGTATTAGTTTTTATTTAACAAGGTCAGATTTCTGAAAAACACACAAGATTTTCCCTCCACTTCACAGTTATGCACTAATTTCTGTCTGAATAGGAAACATTGAAGTTGACAGAAATTGCAAAAGGTCAAAGGCTCCGGGTATTTTTATGAGGCACTGTACGTAGGATGCAGCATGCTGAAAGAAAGGTTATGTCTGCAATGAGAACGATAAGTTTAGATCATCTTGAGATGAGTTATTCTAATTTGTTGTTTTTTGCAGTGTAGCACTAGCTAGTTGTTTTTAGACGCTGTCTTTTTGCAGACACAGATGACTTGCATGAGCCGCTGCATATATCAAGGTGCCCACAGATGTTTAATTTAGCAAGCAAAGGAAACTGTAGTGTGATTTTTTTTTATCTTACAAGCATCAGTTTTTTGTCTTCCTTAGTAGGTTAAAAAAAAAAAAAAAAATCATGAATCAATGAGCACACATGCACACAGCGGAGACTCTGCATTCCTAAAAAGCTTCTTTCGAACACACATCCCGTCGCTGATTCTGCAGTGTGTTTGTGCATCTGTCTGTGTGAGTTGCGGTGAAACGTTTCAGGTGAGAGATGTGTGATGTGACACTTTCTGGGCTGTTAGAGGTTCTCGCTCCCCAGGTGGACGGCTGCATTTTCAGTGAGCACACAAACACAAGAGCACGCACACACACACACACACACACAGCTGGGATGCTGGGGTGCTGGATATGGCCCAGCATTTTAGCAGATGGCCTGGGTGCTACGCTATCAGTCACCATAGTAACATGCTCTCTTTTTCCTCTTTCTCTCTGTCTTTCTCTCCCTGTCTCTAGTGCTAAGAGAAGGAAAATGGCAGACAAGATTCTTCCGCAAAGGGTGAGGCTGCATATATTTACCTTTGTTGTTCTGTTGTTTTTTTCTGTCTGTCTTTTTTATCTCCTCTGTGCAAAGAAGAAGAAAAAAACCCTTATCGCTTTTTGATGCCATGGGATTCTTGGAAGGTGCTGACGGCTGGATCATTATTTGTTATTTCCCAAAATGGGAAGGGAGAGGACGGGCGGAGTGATGAGAAGTTTTCTTCATGGGTTTTATCCTGTTATTTGGATGGCTGCTCGTTGATTTACTCTGTAATTGTCAGGCTTAGATGCAAACACATGAAAAAGTGAAAGAGGCAGCAGATGACTCATGTTCCCACAGGTGAGAGTGGACCGTTGGAGGTGCAGATTTGTAAGTCCTGTCCGCTGAAGCTGCAGCTGGACTCCAGCCTTACCCCCTCTGACATCACCCAGACAGAGATAACAGCTAGCGTGGCATGGCATGGGGCGGCACTGACAATGAGTCAGGCCTGGGGAATGTCTGCCAGACTCCTCCACCAGCTCGCCGTCTCAGCCCAGGCAGATAGAGAAGGAATGAGAGGGAACAATGAAGGCAGGAAAACATGAAAGTAGCAGCAGCAGGGAGGGAGGACAGGGAGCTGGAGGAGTGTGTGTGCACAGTTCGGCGAGCAGCAGCAGCCCGTGATGCTGGGACGACTTTCATCAGTATGGTAACGCTTGAGTTCTGGCTATTTGTCTGCATCTCATTCTGATCCCCTGCTTGACGCTGCTGAGCGACCCATTAACGACAGCTAGAGCTGTGGCTCTAAGTTAGTCGAGTATTTTATTCACCTTCAGTTCATGTCACTACTGCAAGGAATCTCATTTATACCCAGAGTGAAAAGGTATCGGGCTGCTTACATGTTTCTTCTGTTTTGTTGAAGAGTTTGAGATCATCAAATAAATTGGCATATCAAACAAAGATAACCCAAGTAAATACAAAAAGGTGTTTTTTTAAAAAGTATTTCATTTATGAAGGAAAAAAGCTATCCAAACAAACGTCAAGGTTGCCAGATCTGAGAGCTTCCAACATAAAAACAAGATAAAACCCGCCCAACTCCCAAAAAATCTGCCTCTAATGAAATGAATGTTGAGAAAAATATATATATGCTATGATAATAACATCACATATCAAACAAAGATGACCTAAATAAATTCAAAAAGCAGATTTTTTTATTAATGGTTTTATTTATCAAGGGGAAAAAGTTATCCAAACTAACATCATGGTTGCCAGATTTGACAAGTTTTCAGCCCAAAAACAACATAAAATCCATCAAACTAAAAAGAAAACTGTATATTTATTTGTTTATTGTGATCATTGACCCAAAGTGCTCTAAGTTTAACATCACAAACAGGAGGGCGTACATTTTCCTTTAGGATTTTTCTTGAAATCAGAATGAATATTTACTCCAATTTAAGCAAAATATTGAGATCCCAGCCTACCACAGCGTCTCCTTTATGTTTAACTGTTGGTATGTTGTGTTTTCTTCGAAATATACTGTTTTGCTATGATGGCATCAAACCAGAAACATTTTATTTTAGCATTTTTGGATAGTTGGCTAACATAAGATTGAGTCTGTAGAAGAAATTTGAGGAAGAGGACCTAAACATAAGTGGCCCATCTTGATTGTGTTAATATTGGTCATATTTGATTATAAATATTATACAATGGCCAGTCTTGTTCCTTAACATATGAGAACAATAAGATGCTACAGCATAAAAAATAAAGAAAATACAAACTGGATTAGGTTTATATTTGATTTTACCAACATAGGCCTTTTTTAGTTCTTAGCTAGTTTAGCTTGCATCTCATTCTGCTCTTCTTTAGTAATAAAGAGGAATAAAATATTTTTTTTAGCATTATTTAATGGATTTTGTTCGATCTGGTAACCATCATGTATTTAATTTCTCTTTGGGATCAATGAAGTATTTTTAAATTTGAATTGAACCCCAAAAAGGCAGCTTGTCTTCTTAATAATTTTCACAATAATTACACATTTGAAGAATTTTTTTACTTTATAATTAAGTAAGTGAAGGTTATTTTATTCAAATTTCATAACACGGCGTTCTCATCCTCCTGAGCAGATCCGGGAACTGGTACCTGAATCTCAGGCCTACATGGATCTACTGGCTTTCGAGCGCAAACTGGACCAAACCATTATGCGTAAACGCGTCGACATCCAGGAAGCTCTGAAGAGACCAATGAAGGTAAATAAAAATAACCCTTTTTTAAAAAACTTTTTAGTGGTTTTTCAGCCATTATACAGCACCTCCATTTTTATTTGTGATTATTATTCCATACTAAACTGTGCTCCTGATTTTGCCCTTGTGTCAGCAGCAAAAGCGTAAACTAAGGCTCTATATTTCCAACACGTTCAACCCAGCTCGACCTGACGCTGATGACTCGGATGGCAGCATTGCATCATGGGAGCTGAGGGTAGAGGGAAAGCTGCTGGATGATGTAAGTTTTGTTTTATGCTCCCAAACTGTTTTGCTGTTTATAGTTAATTATTATTTGCATATTAAGATTTTTTTTCTACAGAATATTGGCAGGTTGAAAGTAGAGCTGGGCGATGAAGCTTAAAAATAAAATCCCCCATTTTTTTCATACTAGAACAAATTTTAATTTCAATTTATCTCACCTTATTTTCTAAAAAATAAATTACAAATGACGTAAGATATTTTCAATCATACCTCTTGTGAGTTGTATTGGCTAAACAAATTTTTGTGTAGTTATGAGAAAAAAACTGTAAAACAAGATGGTCGCCTTTAGCACCGGTGAATAAAAAGATGCAGATTTTTTTTTTTTTATTTAATCTTTAAAAACAAAAATTTGATTTAATCAGTAACGTCTACTTATTGCCCAGCCCTGTTTGAAAGTTGTGTTTTTATTTTGCAAGTTAAATGGATGCGTACTCTTTATTAAGGCTTGTAATTAAACCCAGAGCTCTCCTGGGCTTTCAGTCACGTTCTTTATTGATGTACTGTAATGTGTTGGCTGAGAGAATAACATGACTAAATGGTGAGAAAAGGCAAAATGATTTGTTTTGTGCCATAAGATCTGACATTCATAACAGGGGAAAGCTTTCAAAACCCACAAATATTTTCAGTGAATCTCGAAGGAAGTGAACCATGAGAACGATTACCGTGTTACTTTCACTCTTTGTGGTTTATCTGAAGTAATGATGCGATGGGAGAATTGATGAGATCCTCGACATGAAATGACTGTTTTTGTCTGTCTGTTCTGCAGCCGGGGAAGCAGAAGAAGAAGTTTTCTTCCTTTTTTAAGAGCTTGGTGATCGAGCTGGACAAAGAGCTGTACGGTCCGGACAACCACCTGGTCGAGGTCGGCACACACTGCGACTTTAATGCACAAACAGGAAGGTCACACAGCATGTGGTCTCATAAAGGCCAGAACAATTTGACCGAAAAGTAAAAAATCTGATTTTTTTTCATACCAGATCCGATTTATGATTTCAATCGTTTTTTCTTTTCTCTCTTTCTTTTCCAAAAAATAAATTAGAAATTTTCAAAAAGTGGCTTTTATCCCAACCATCCCTTTTGTAATTTGTACGACAAATTATTAGGGCCAGGCTACAAGACTTTTGGTTTAATTACAAGAATATTGTCAGAAAATTTACAGAACGAATTGTGTAATTTCACTAGAAAAAAGTGATTTTAATGAGACTCTTTTTGTTATTTTTTTTGTGTTGCAGTTATCATAAAATTACTACTCTATTCTCCTGATAATATGACTTTATTCTGGTAATATTAAGACTTTATTCTGGTATTATTTTGCTTTTGTCATATGACTTTATCCTTTAAAAAACTGCAAAATCTTGTCCCTAATATTCAGTCATATTTACCTGCATTCAAAGTGTAAATAAATAGAAACTGCAAAACATTCTTCGGTGCGCTGATGTCACCCAGAGTTAATTGCTGTAAAAACAATCCAAAAATTAAACCTACAAAAACCAAAATTTAAATTAATCAATAAAATCAATTTAGCAACAGCCATAGTCCCTTGTTCTTGTTCTCTTAAAGTTTTTACATTTTTAACAAAACTGTCAAGAAAAGATAACAAAAAAATCTGGAAAAATCTGCCCTTTAGCCAAACAATTCAACCCTGAAGTGTAGCTGAAAAAATAAAAGATTTGTGAAAAGCAGCTTGCTCTTCGCTGCCAAAGCTTTTGCCTTTTTATTTCTCTATAAAAATAATAACATCTGACCAAACCTCAGCAGACCCAATCAACCGGATTTAGCACAATCTGCGCTATTGTTGTTGAACTAAAACTCAGCATTTCCAGATATTTTACTTGTCCTTTAGAAGAAGTCACCAGATCTGGTGAGAAACTGTTTTACTTTAAATGAGTCACAATGTAACGACTTCATGTTACGTCTCGGATTCGCTCAGCTTCTCGCCAAGAATAAACTCGGGAAAACTGACACAACTCTCACGTCTTAACTGAAAGTAGAGCGAAGAGGTGGTCGGCCCGAGACCAAGTAGTTCAGCTCATTACAGCCCCTTAAAACCACGGCTTATTATTGTTTCACGTCACTTATTATGAATGTGAAACAAAGGACATGTTGTTTGATGAAAGCTGAATGAAGAGAAACGGTTTAGAGTCTCACTTCACTGATGCCAACAGATGAGCAACACGTTAATCATACAACGGTGTGCAGAGGTTTTGTAGCGTTTAAAGTTCTCCTGGTCTTTAAATGTTTCAGGGGGATTTTTGCTGCTTTTCTCAAATTTTTAATCTGGAACATTGAGATAACTGGAGATTCCCAGTGGCTGTTTTAGTTCTGAAAACTGATGAATTACTGCAGTTTTATCTTGTCTGAAAGGAAAATCTGGGGAAAATCTTGCAGTTTATGTTTTGTTTATCATCTACATCCATTTTTTCAGTTATCTTTGTTACTTTTCCTTTTTTTTTTAAAGAAATAGGAACAAATTGTCACTTTTGTGGCAGTTTCTTTGTAAGAAATTTAAATAGATTTAATTCAAAAGTACCTGATTTATTTCAAACGGAAATTAAATGTCTTCAAAGAGTTGTTGTGGATGGTGATGTTGTGACGTTGTGGCAGGAAGGATCTCCTGTAGCAGTCAGTGTTGCAACGAGCCTAAAGAGGCCTCTGACTGAAGACTGTTGCTGTTTGATTGTCTCATGGCTGTCATGACAACCTAACAGCTCAGAGAAACAATAAGCATTGCTAATCCACCTCATTTGCTTTTGCTGCTCCTCTGTAAATCTTTGTCTGGCTGTATGGTGAGAAATCCAGGCAGAGAGATGTTGGAGCAGGGGGTAAGATCCTTGATAAAGTACCTGAAGATCCATTTTAAACAGGTTTTTTTGTTATGTGAAAGAAAGTTTAGGAGTCTTTTTGTGTGTGTTTTAGTTATTTGTTGAAACCAAAAAGCAAAACAGAGCATCACTATGAACCTGGTTAGATACTGAACAGAGGACCAGTTAAAATTAACCAGAAACAACTATAAAATGGGCAGTATCATGTAAAATTAACATTTTTGAGCTTTTCGTCATGCTATGCTGTTATTCCCTCATCAGAAACATACATGGAGCGTTGCTTTGATTCTTACATGCATGTTTGAGAAATCCTTTTATCTCCATGGCAACCATTCAAGAGAGTTAAGAGAGGAGCCATGGTGTGATGACTTCCTGAAAGGTGGAGTTTCAGAAGTAGCTGGAGTTTTTAAAGAGACAGGCACCCAATTTCAAGGCGCTAAATTACAGTCATATTTTATATATAACATTTCTATAACAACAGAAGTGTGTAGTAGAATAGCAGCATGTGAGTGGAAAACATATTAGAACAAACTAAAGAAAGTCTAGGCTACCACCTAAAATCTCAGTAATTTCATTAGGTTTGTCATTATGTGATGAAAAAAATGAAAATGTTATTTTTACTGTAGGCAGAGAAAATGAGCCGCAGCGAGACCATTTAATTCCAGTCATTAGAGACTCATGGTTTGACTTGGATTGGTAAAATAATGAGTTGTGAACATTTCTTGGCTACGCTCAAAATCAAAAAATCCAACTCAAACCCTCAATAAAATTAAAAATGATGTACGAGTGAGTGAGAATCCAAAAACGCCAACTTTTCCTTTGACATGTCACCCGCGCTGTAAATTCTCCTTTTGCTCCGCCGGGACAACATTCACACGTCTTGAACAGTTTGTTCCATTACCAACACGGAGCGTCTCTAAAGCACTGGATCGGACTTTCCAGCACCGCAGTCAAGGTCAATGATAGTTTCCCTCATTGAAAATTCCCATTTTGTCATGTCTGGCTAAATGTTGAGGAACAATGATCCCATCTCGCCTGATCCTCGTCATGTTCTCATTGGTTAAATTGGAAGTAAAGCAGGATGAGACGCAGAGCAACATGCAGATTTTTTTCTCCAACAGCAGAAAAATACCCAGATAGCACAGAATGATTGAAACAACATTGAATCAATG